ACAATCTTCTCCCCCAGGAAGGGCCAAGTGGACGGGTGGCAGAGCAGAGACAAAACCTTTTCTGAATTTATTGCTTTCTGTAGATTCTGTAGATTCCAGGGCCATTCACCCTGTAAATCTATTTGGGCAAAATCGACTCTGAGTTGACTTCAACCCAAGGAGATCCACAAGAGTGCAACACGCATAAACAAACAAGCAAAATGTCAACTGTCCTATTTGATGCGTGCCATAAATCAGGGGTCCTCAACCTTGGTAACTTTAAGACTTGTGGACTTCAACTCCCAGAATTCCTGGCTGAGGAATTCTGGGAGTTGAAGTCCACAAGTCTTAAAATTGGCAAGGTTGAGGACCCCTGCCATAAATAAAGACTTCTGGGACATTTCTTTTCTCCAGGAGTATAATTTATTATTTATTATCTATCTGTCTGTCTGTCTGTCTGTCTCTATCATCTATACTTTATTTTATTTTATTTATTTTTTATATTTCTAATACACACATCCCATCTCCTTCAAAGAGGGGCTCTATTTTCCCTGCTTGCCAGGTATTTCTGAGCAAGAAGAATAAAAGCAGAATTAATGGGAAAGCAAATCACAAGGGAAGACATCTGGGAAATACATTCCTTGAATAACACGGATGTATTGGGGAAAACGAAGCCATTGCTCAGTGCTTCCCCTAAGTCAAGGGCCCCAGGACTCTGGGGTCAACTTCTACATATTTCCAAAGACTCTTCACCCACCCACTCAGCCCTGCTCAGAAGAGTCATCTTATGGCCCTGAGTCTCTGTGCAGAGGTGTTTGATGATCATCAGAGAACACTGGCTGGTCAAACTGACCTCAGAATCCAACCTGGGATTTAACATTAAACTAAACTCAGAAGGTTAGCTCTGTTCCCCAGGATCAGTCAGGCCTTTTCTCTTAAAGAGAAGCATCTGGAGGTGCCAAGAGGCAGGCTTTGGGTCTTGAAGATCAAAGGCTACTCCAGGGAGATGTCGGTCAAAGGTGGACAGCCAACCTGCAGGGCGTGCTAAGCTTGGTTGGACCTGCCTGTTTCAAAACATGTTTTCTTCATTAAGAGGTAATGATTCATTCCCTTTGGAGCAAAAAGAGTGCCACGGGGCAAGGTGGTTTTTCTTCTTAAATAGCTCATCCATCATTGAACTCTGAATAAAAAAAGATGGGCTCAACTGTTTTTAAGAAACCTTCTAAAAATATCTGACAATCCAGCTTGGCATTAGTTAGGCCTACACATTACACTTGGTCATCACTTGCTTAACTATGGTTTGTTCATTAAGCCTGCTTATACCATCCAGACTAAAGGCTGTGCAATGTTTTCTTGAAAACCTCCAGCAATGGAGCACCAATAACTCCTGGAGGCAAGCTGTTCCATTGATTAATCATTCTCCCTGTCATTACAATTGTGAATTGTAAGATGAATTGTGTGTCTAATGAGGGGTGTCACTGAAGGCATTGTGCTGGAATAACACACAGCCAACCCATGTTTCAGTTAACTTTGCAAACATCAGCAACCCACTCCTTTTAAAAAGGAAAATATTTGGAAACTGGGATTTTTAGACAGCTTTTCCAAGGGGCCAGTGAGTTTATGGCCCAAGTCCAAACCCTCCTGTTTAAGAGAAGTGCACATGTCAACAATGAGGCAGTGAAAACACGTTGCTAGGAACTCAACAAAAAATCAAAACACAACCACATTTTCCCAGGCTGATTGATGAAAGGGAGGTGAAGGGCAATTAACCCGCTACATTAATTTATTTCTGAAGAAGTGCTATTTGAAAAGATGTGGGAAGCCAGGCAATCGGTCCAGTTCAATGGAAGGGCTGCACATTAGTCCAGTTAAAGACGTGACTCATCGTTTAGATGAAACTGAAGAACGAAAGGAACTTTTTGGATGAAAAGTGAAACATTTTCAAGAAAAACAAACAAACAAACAGAAAATCCAGTTGCCTTTTGGAAGAGTATCTTTGAGACAACCATGACCTGGATGACAGAGAATCTCCATTTAGGTGAAAATGCAGTGATCCAACTTTCAAGGTTTATAGCCACAAATGGTTTTATGTTCCTCATCGCTACTGACCCTACTGACCCCCTATGGTTTATTGAGTGTTTTTATTTAAAAAAAAAATACTGCCAATCTACTTTTTGCAAAAATCACCTTTGCAGAGGAGAGGATGCTTTATGAACATTTTAGCATTTTAGCAGGAGGCAAGTCCACCTGTCTTTCTTTGCCAACTTTGAAAAACACCTCTCCAACTTATCTAGTTATTCAGCAAACCAGCAATAAATGCTGAGAATTGCCAGTTATCGGATTCATTGGTGATGAAGAAGCAATTCAGGGAAGAGACATTTAAAAACCCCTGGCCCCTCGCTTATTTTACTGCAGCTGGGAAATATAATTACTTAAAAGATGGATGCTGATTTTTACTCTTCCACAGTCTGAACGAGAAGGCTTCTCTGTTAATTTAATGCATTAGATCACTTTTGTTCCAGCATCTGGAAGGACATATGGTAAAAAAGCAGTCACACTTTTTAAAGATGCATCACTGCTCTGTTGCCAGCCTGCTACTAACACAAAGAAAAACACTGCTAGGCCTGAAACGGGGAAAGAAAGATCTTTGAATGCTGCCTAAGTGTAGCAATTAACAGTTTTTATTTCTAATAAGGCTGAATAAACCTTTAAGTGTTCATGCCCTTCCTCCCCTCCTCCATGTCCAACTCAAAAGTTGTTGTTGCCTAAACACCTGTTGTTGGCTAAACACATAAGCACAAAAGAAGTCTGGCCTCGGGCAAACTAAAACTAAAATAATTGTTTGATACTAGGCTAAAACCTCCTGATGTGTGTTTGTGTTTGGCCCAGCACGATGACCATTGCCAATTTGGGTTTTTCCAATAAGCTTACAGGTAAATCCTTACTTACGACTGTTTGTTTCATGACTGTTTGAAGTTACAGCAGACTGGAGGTCTTGTTTGTGTAAGTAGCGAGCTCGCCAGAGTCCAGAAAAACTGGATTCTTCTGTGTTTCCCTGTCCATTCTCTGGCCTTATTAACCTTCGGATCTGCCGGGTCTCTTCATTGCTCCCCCTTCTCGTGTCTTCACCTCTTCCACCAAAGGCTGTTCAAATTTGCAGAGGGATCCCAAGGCAGGTTCAGCAGAGCAAAGTTTAACTGGAGTCAAGGCTGCGTCTCCAGATTCTGCAGTTGGGAAATCAGCCTTGGGAGCCTCAATTCCTGAGCATTAGCAGCCTGTTTGGAGCAGAACAGGGGTCCCCGAAGATGGCCAATTTAAGACCTCTGGACTTCAACTCCCAGAAGTCATGTTGAAGTCCACTTGTCTGAAAGTTGGCAAGTTGGAGAAACATTGCTTTAAGGGAACATAGTTTCTAATAGTCCACAGGGGTGAACCACTTCATCCTTTAGTTCCTTAACCCGCTCTGCTCCACCCTTGTCTCCTTGCATAATGGCACACATGTGGCATTTAAGTATTAGGGAAAAACCCAGCCAGAGCGGGCTAAGGAACTAAAGGATGAAGAGGTCCACCCTTGTGGACGATTGGAAACTATGTTCCCTTAAAGCAATGTTTGTCAAACTTGCCAACTTTAAGACAAATGGACTTCAACATGGCTATCTGGGGAATTCTGGGAGTTGACGTCCACTTGTCTTAAAGTTGCCAGGTTTGGAGATTCCTGGTGTAGAAGATCCAGGATGCCTTCCCGAGAAGTGGGACGAGTGGCCAGAAGCCCAGATCATCCCTCTTATGCTACCACATCTCATTGTAGCATGCGACGTCTCAAACAGGGCTTGCAAAAGGCGACCTCAGAGCGGTCCATCGCCTTCAGCAAACCATCTCAATTGCTCTCAGGCTCTGCTGTTGCTGCTTCTGCCCCCCCCCCCATCTTCCTTTTTTTGCTAGAAATCAGCTGTTGATTATATTAGTTATTTTTAGTAGTATCCACCAAGCTCAGACACTCATCCCAGGGTTTCGGTTTAGATATAAATAGCACCTGTTTATTAATATTTACTTAAAACAAATTGGGAGGCACTTTACTGCGAGTCATTTTTCTACGAACTGATGACTGCAATCTGACCTAAAAGAAGTGGGATGTTATTTTTTCTTTTGTTGGGAAGATAATTAGGCTTATTTCGGTAAATCTGTCCCTGCTCCAATAAAGCGTTTTTTTCTGATTAATTAAAAATATTCTCAGGGATCATATACTGTGGTTCATGACATCAGTTGTCTTCCCTGGAAGGGTGAAATCTTCTTCTCCTTAAATTTAGGCTCACAGCCTTTTTGCAGTTAAATCTTTGTTGTTAATTGCAAAGTCATGTCCGACCCATCACGACCCCATGGACAACGTTCCTCCAGGGCTTCCTGTCCTCTGCCATCTTCTGGAGTCCATTTAAGTTCACGCCTCCTGCTTCAAAATCTTTATATAAACTTTTATATTATGTCCTAAAGGGTGGGAGGAAAAACAGGGGGGGGAGGAAAGAAGAAGAAGGGAAGAATGAGAAGGGAAGCAGAGGAGAAAGAGGAAAGGAGGAGAAGGAAAAAAGAAGAGAAGGAGGAGAAGTGAAGAAGAGAAGGAGAAGTGAAGAAAAAGAGAAGTGGAGGAGGAGAAGAAAAAGAGGAGGAGGAGGAGGAAGAAGAAGAAGAAAGGAGGAGGAGAAGGAAAGAAGGAGAAGGGAAGAAGAAGAGGAGAAGGAGAAGCAAAGGAGGACGAGAAAGAAAGGAGGAGGAGATGGGAGGAAGAAGAAAGAGAAGGGAAGAAGAGGAGGAGAAGGATAGGGGGAGGAGGAGGAGGAGAAAAGAGAAGGAGGAAGGAAAAAGAAAAGAGAGGAGGAGGAGGAGGAGGAGGGAAGAAGAGGAGGAAAAGAAAGAGGAGGAGGGAGGAAGGAGGAGGAGGAGGAGAAGGGAGGAAGAGAAGGAGGAGGAGGAGCGGGCCGTCGGAGCGCTCCCAGTCCCGCCGCTGCAGGAAAGGCGGCGCAGCGGAGCCGAAGGAGGAGCTGCAACCGGCTGACGTGCAAAAGGGCCGCGGAGGCGCTGCAGCTTTGCACTCTTGCAACGCGCGTGGCGTGCATTTGCTGCGACCGCGGGCGAGGGGGGGCGGCGGCGGCGGGCAGGGCCTCCAGCGCAGGGCGATCCCCCCGGAGCGAGCGCTGAGCGGCACCGCGGCGCCCCCGGCCAGGCGCAAAGGCGCTCGGAGCCCAGCCGGGCGAAGCGCATGGCCACGCCGGGAGCCGCGGCGCCCGGAGGTCCGCGGGCAGCCCTGGAGGACCCCGGCCCGCCGCCCCAGCCGCCCCCCGGCGGACCCCAGCCCGCGGGGACCCCCCAGGCCCCGGGCGAGCCGCTGGCCACGGCCCCCGCGCCGCTTCCCGCACCCCAGCCTTGCGCGGCGCCCGAGTCCAAGTTCCTGCCGCCGCAGGCGCAGGCCGCGACCCCCGCCGCCCCACCCGGGCCGGGCCTGGAGAACTATTCGTTCCTGCCCCTGGTGCACGACATTATCAAATGGTAAATGTCCCGCCGAGCCTCCGGGGACAGGGGCAGTCTACCTTGGAGGGCAGGGATGGAGGAAAGGCTGAGTTCCAGGCTAGGAGGTCTCCCACGCATCCCCGGATTTCAGACTGGAGATGAGGATCTCCAGCGAGATTGATGCTTAGATTTCTACCCCTTCAGGATTTGAATCCGATGCTCCCCAAATTTGGTATCTCTGGCCCAGCTGATGGGGAGCATCCTGGCGCACAGCTGGCAGGGAGCCCAGTTCTTGCCACCTCTGGGCAACTAGAGGGAGGAAGGGGGTCCAGAGCTAAACTTAGCCCTGTTCTGAGCTTGCAAAAGCTTTCCCTCCCCATCTTTTCTTGTTTTCATTATTACATTTATAATAATGTTTTTATATGCCATCTATGCACACACGATCCATGCTGGCTGGGGAATTCTGGGAGTCGAAGTCTGCCCATCTTCAAGGGGCTGAGGTTGAGCGGCTCAGCTGTGGTCCACAGTCTGAGCCAACAGAGGTCGAACATCTCGGTAACCGAAAACATCCCAAACTGTAAATCAGGACATCAGAATGAGGCTAACGCAAGGCTAAAATAATGAGATGGACACGGGCACTGAATAGAAGCAGGGCCCAAAGCTAGGATGATTTTGAGGTTCCTAAATGCTGGTGGGAGGGGGGCCCTTGCACATCTGGATGAGGAGGGTCCCTTTGGCGAAGGCCTGTTTTGATCCTCACAGCAGCCTTCAACAAAAGGATTCTGGAGCTGTTTCCTCCCTGAGACGCAGAATGTTGGGGTTTTCTGCTGCTTGCTTTGCAAAAGCCTATTTATTAGTCTATCTTTGGTTGCCAGCCAGCCTCTAATGGAAAGTCCCAAATAGAATGTTTTCTTCCAACTATGTGGGAGTTGCTTTCATGGCAGGAACATAATTCTCTGTTTTCAAAACACGAGATTTATTTCTACAATTAGCCACTCTTTCTCTCTCCCTCTCTCTCTGCCTTTCTCCCCAAGGTTCGTTTGTTTATTTATATCTCATACTTCTTAACCGCCCATCTCTCCATGATTTCTTGGGCCATCAGCACAGGGGGGGAGGGAGGGATTTGAGGGGTTGAGTAGGAATAATGGGCTACCTTGATTCAGAGAACTTTTTTTGGAAGGTGGGAACCTGCTGGAATTTCTAAACATACCCATTTGGAAAATGATTAAAATGAGGTTTTTCGATGGAAGTCATATTACAGAGAGCACCAAGGATAGCAAAGTTTGCCTTGCAGCAACAGGGGCAGCAAACCAATTTAATCAACGAATAATTAATAAAGTCCTGTTCGGAATAAAAGGGAAATCAAAGCGAACGAGAATTAAAATCCAGGATGCTAGACATAGGACTTTTATTTTAAAAAAATATAAGCGTGCAGCCAAGAGCTCGCTTCTTTAAAAAAAATCAGAAAAGATATTTTAAAAACCATTAAAAATTATTTTCCAAAGATCGGAGTGCTGCACGGGTTCCCTTGCGCTTCCTTGCTTGTATATAAATAACGTCGGCTGTTAACAGAAGGAATTTATTTTTATTCTCCTTCCCGTTTCTTTGTTTTAGCATGGATAAAGACAGCCAGGATGTCCACCAGCTGTTGAACGAGCTGAGAACTAAATTTGTGGAGACCCACAAACTGATCAAAAGCATGCAGGGCATCAGCAGGAGCCCCGAACAGCAGCACCAGCAGCTGCAGCACCTCCGAGAACAAGTGAAAACGAAGAACAAACTACTGCAGAAATATAAAACTCTGTGCATGTTTGAAGTCCCCAAGGAGTAAAGGAGACGTCGCTCTGCAGACAGGACAGTTCCTTGGAAGCGGCATTTGCCAGACATGGCCACTTTAAGAGGCGTGGACTTCAACTCCCCAGCTGGCTGGGGAATTCTGGGAGTTGAAGTCCACGCCTCTTAAAGTGATCAAGTTTGAAAAACATTGTGCTAATGTAAATGGACCTGATGTGCAATTTGTGAGCCCAATAGGGTGTGATTGTGCAAAACTCACTTGGTGTGTGTGGGGGGTGATGTCTGTGGGCCGTTTTCTGTGCACCTGGGTGGTAAAGCTATGCGAGAGTGTACCACTTCATCAGGTGGGTGGGGGGGGTCCATCCTGCCTATTCCTGGAATTAAAAGTGAGAAAAATTAAAATCCTAGATGTTGCAAAGCCTGGGATGAATTTTCAGGTTAGCTTTCTACTTACTAATAAGTTGATTAATGGTGGTTTTATTTCCTTGTCTTCCTGGCTGGGCTTTTCACCCCTTCAGCCCCCCCCTCCTGTGGGATGAAGTGGTACACTCCAGGTGGAATTGTGCCACACGTTTTAAAGGGGAAGGGACCACTTTGTTGAGTGGTAGGGACTATCTTTGAATCCCGTTTTTCAGCCCGCAGGAAATAATGTTTCTTATGCAGCGAAGCAGCAAGGGAGAAAATGGAAGCAGCATTTAAAATCTTCAGCAAATTAAAAAAAGTAGCTTCATGACTTATGTCTGAATTTTATTAAATTTATGTGACGTCAATCATCAGTTTCCATGGAAGATGTCATTCATGGAGAAAGTCTCCATTTATCCATGTGTGAATGTTGTTTCGATTATTTTTAGCTTGCTTGTTGGGAGCAAATACTGCTTCCTTAATAGCTTTGCTAAAAAAATAATTTGGGGGGGGAAAGATGGTGGTGGATTATATTAATATTCTGGGGTTGCCTGTGCACCCCTCCCCCACTGACGTGGCCTGTAATGCTTAACACTCTTGGTTTATTTTACTTACGTCGTTCTTTGTCAGATTTGCCAGCTGTGTAACCTTTTCGCTTCAGAAATAGCCCTCTTTAAACATGCAGCATGGATATGTGTGTGGTTTTTTTCACAAAATCACTGCATCATCACTGCTTCATCTCATCTTTGATAGGATGAAAAGATAAAAATCTGATCTCTCGTCTGTTTAAGGCTGATCTGGGATTATCTTAATCTTCTTGCTCACCAGCCTTTCAATCCTGATCCTTAATCATGTCATTTTTTGTTTTTTTCCTTCTTGTTTTTTTAAATCATGTTAATTTTTTTCTTTGTTTTTCTTCTTTCTTTCTGTGTAAGAATGTTGATTCTCTCCCTGCTGGAACATTAGGACAGTTACTATTAATTAAAGTGACACTGAGTGACGTTATTGCTTCTGTAATTAAAATTATTTCTGGTCTGTGAAAGTCAATAATAAAATAACTTGCAATTTCAAAGAATTGAACACAGTTTGGGCATTATGTGTTTTTGAAACTTGGCGATTTTAAGATGGGCAAACTTCAATTCTGGGAATTTAAGTCCATTCATCTTAAATTTCCCCCACATGCTGGCCAGGGAATACCTTTCCTTTCCTTTCCTTTTCTTTTTTTCTTCTTTTCTTTTCTTTCCTTTTCTTTCCCGCCATCTCACTATCCAAAACTGCTCTTTGGAGGGGAATCTTTGCAATTGCCCTCAAAAAGCAATTCTTGAGAGAGGCCAAAGGTGGCGTCTCTGGAGCTGCTGCTTGTCCGGCTTCAGGTGTGTGAATCAGCCTCTTGGCCTCATTCCAGCATCCCGTGAGATGAAAGTTTATTGTTTTTTTTCTACTCCAGACCACGAGTGCGATAAAGGCAATTATGGGGAGGGTTGGGCTGAGCACATCCAAGAGGTCAACAAGGTCTGGATTTCTGTCATTCATCCTTAGTATAGTTAATGCTCCCTGGCACAGTACGGCAGCCTTGTTGACTTTGCAATGCCTGGAAAATTTCCACTGGGCACATCATGCCCTTGGTATTTTCTGCCGTGTGGAAGACTGATGCCAGAGGAGACGCATGGAAAGTGGGAAGGGGATAATTATCTCACCCTCTTTTCATTTAACTTCATGCCATTTTCCATTCTTCCAATGACTTCATCTCCCTTCTCTGTCTTCATCAGTTATTTTAAGAGGCCACCAACCTCTACCTTATTATTATTAATAGTTGTAGTAATAGTTATAGTTACTGCAATTCATCTCCAATGCCCCTATTAGAAATACAGACATTTGTTTATCCCATCAGCATTCACAGCTTGGAAACCTGAGGTCAGGCACAAGGAGGGCAGTTATAATGTCTGGGTTTATAGACCATCTTTTCTCAAGAGCTCAACTGGTCCATCTGTTATTTTCTCCCATCACCAGAATCTGGGGAGGAAGGCAAGTCTTAAGATAGAAGGGGGGTTTGAACCCTGGTCTCCTGGAAGCTACTTTTGCAGGGGGTCTTAGTTCTTGAGAAGCAGGATCTGAAAGTGATTTGGATGGGGACCAGGGTGGGAAAGGAGGACACTGTCTATCAAACCCAGCAGGGATATTGAAAATTTAAACAGAATCAGTCAAGTTTCTCAAGTCTTTTGAGAAGGATCATATTATAAAGACTGGTAGAACTGTGATCTGCTTGGAAAGTGGGTCATTTGTTGAGAAGACGATTCCTGTGTGGAGAAACCTTTTCATGTGATTCATGGCGGCTGGGAATTCTGTGAATTGAAGTCCACACAACGTCAGGTTGTCAAATTTGGATGTCATGGTAGGTCTTTCAAGAGGTCTTCCTTGGTTTCTGGGAGGACTTCCTTTTATCTCAACAACTACAACTTAGTAAGGTTGGCCAGGCTGGATAAAAGGCTGGCCCACAGTCCACCAGGGGTCTCCAAGGCTAAGGGTGGCTTTGGACAGGGGTCTCCACAATCCTAGTTCAGCACTCCTGATTACACCTTCTTAACATCTCCAGCTTCAATCGGGCATCTTCAAGACACCAGGCACAGTTGGTGCTGGGACCTCAGGAAACCTGCTGCGTAGACCTGTCACCCAACCCCAAAAACTCAACACTGTCCAACAGATACCTGTGCCAATATGCCCCCCCCCCATTTCCCTCACACCATCAAACAAGTCAATACCAAAATTGTTGTATTTTTCAAAAGTTTTATTTCATAGAAAAAACCTCACCCAAATATAACAAAGAACCAGTGTCAAACATCGTAAAAACAAGATGCCAATCTTGACAATCAACCCGATAATTCTACATATGTATATAAAGTGCCTGTTGGCTTTAATGCAATGCGGTTGTAGGTTGGTTTGCTCGTTTGTCAACAAACGTCCATGAAAAAGGAGGAGGGCTGTAAACAGGATCACTTTTCCAACAGCTTCCCCACCAGTCTCCCCTCCTTCTGTGCTCCCACACAATGGGGGTGAAGGGGAAGGAGAGGACAAGCCATGGACAATTGTCAGCAGCAGTAGCAGCAAATTAAAACTTTTCAACATGCTCAGAGGCAACACATCGAAAGCATCACAGACACAGCCATGAGAAAGTCGGGGAGTTCAGCTAGCGGCTGCCTCCCGTACAACCAAATCCCCCCTCCCGTTTCCCCCCAGTCTTTTGACCACAAACATAGTCAGAGGGTCTTCACAGAAGGTCTCCTTCCAACCACTGAGTCTTCAATGTTTTTTCTCCAGTTCCGGGTCCTAGCTGGACGGTCCAGCCTTGCCTCCAACTCCTGCTAAAAGGAAAATAGTCAAGGGTTCCCCGTGGAGAGTGAGGAGGCCCTGTCTTCCACAGCCCGAGGCTTGCGTGCCTCCCAGAAGGGCTGGCAGAGTTTGGCTACCAAAGAGCTTCTTGGTCCCCCTTGGTCAGGGAGGTCCGAAGACCAGAGAGAAGAGCCTTTAGCTGATCACGCAACGTTCTTTGTCCTTAGCCTGTCCGCCTCGGATGGCCTTCTCCCGGATGTACATGAGGTCGCTGTGGACGCTGGGCCTGCGAGCGAAGGGGGCCACAATGCCGTAGGCATCCCCAGTCCCTTCCCCAGAGCTGTCCTTCAGGAGCTTTTTGCCCTTGAGGGTCTTCTTGTGCAACAGATCACAGTACTGCAGAGAGACTTTGCGGTGCAAATCTGGGCTCATTTCGTTGGGAAGTTTGGCCATGGTGAAGAGCGCCTGGAACATCTCGTCCAAACTGCTGTTCTTCTTGGCAGAGATCTCAAAATAGGGATACTTTTTGGAGTCCTGGCCCAACAGTTGCTCAATTTCTCGGGGTTCCACCTCCCGGTAGAAGTCCCGGTCGCCTTTGTTCCCACAAATAACCAGAGGAACTTCAATGTTCTCCTTGGTCTTGTTTTTCAGGCAAGACTTGGTCTCCAGGATCTGCTGCTTCAGACGCTGGACTTCCTCGAAGGAGTCCCGGTTATCCAGGCTGAAGACGAGGATGAAGACATCTCCTGCAGGAGAAGGAACAGAGAGGAAGAAGGTTAGGAACTAAGGTTCAAAACTTTGCTACTGGATGCATGCAGTGCTAGGGAAAGAACAGCAATAAACGAGAGGAATACAATACATATTCCAGAACTAAATATAACTATCCTGGCAATGCATAAAATAACGCATAAATATATATATATATATATATTGATTCTCTCTCCACTCTATTGCCTGCATTTTTTTAAAGCATTAGCCAAAAAAGTTCACTACAGGTCAGAAATGCAGCACCATGTCTATATTGCTGCAGTCGCCATAAAAATGCATTTTTTTTTGCATCCCAGAGGCGTTATTTAGAAGAGACGGGGGATGGCCTCTCCTTTTCTTATCAGCTTCGGCTTTCTGTAAAAAGTGTCCTTTGTTTTCCTTTTCTTTACAACTCCAGAATTATCAGATTGCCAAAGGCGCTTCAATGAAGCTCCTTATCAATAGGTTGTAAAGCCGAGACTGAAAGCTCAGATTTATAAAGTTTCAACTTGCAAGGACTGTGGGAGCGGCGATCTTGACTTATCTCTCCCCCATTAAACTTGCCAGGGTGTGGGGTTCCAGCTGCAGCCGTTTCAAAGAGAGACGGAGCACAGAACAGAACCGGGAAATATCGAGTGAATTAATCGACATTGGGGGAATAATCTTTTATTTTTATCTGCAGTGTATAGATTTTCCTTCCTCTGCTTCACGCGGGTTTCGAAGCCAGGCAGAACTTGCGAACCGCGCAAAGTGGCAGAGAGAGGCACAGGGGCGCCCGCTTGCAAATGACGAAGAGTTGAGGAGCTACCAGGGGCGGGAAGGGGGGGACAATTCCTCCAAGTTTTGTAGGAGGCGCGCGTGGCCAAACATCACAATTCTGAGAGTTGAAGTCCACCCATCTTAAAGTTGAGAAATGCTGATCTCTTTTCTCTCTTTCCATCTCTTTCTTTTTCTCTCTCCATCTCTTTCTCTCTCTCTCTCTCTCTCTCTCTCTCTCTTTCTCTTTTCATCTCTCTCTCCATTTCTCTCTCTTTCTCTCTCTCTCTCCATTTCTCTCACAGTCCCATTCAGACTGGTTGGCGGAGCAGAGCCCAAAGGACAACGCCTTCCCCGGGCTGCCTCCGAGCCCTATCCCGGGCTCCGGCCCTTGATCCCCGCGCAGACACAGAGACGCGCGCCCGCCGTCTTACCGGTGAGGATGGAGAGGCGCCGCATGGCCGGGAAGGGGTGGTTGCCGGACGTGTCCAGGATGTCCAGCTGGTAGACCTCCCCGCGGATGCTGTAGAGCTTGCGGTGGAAGTCCTCGATGGTGGGCGTGTACTGGTCCTCGAACCGGCCGCTGAGGAAGCGCGAGACGATGGCCGTCTTGCCCACCTTGGACGAGCCCAGCACCACCATCCGGTAGCAGTTCTTGGCCGGGATGTTGAACTCCACCTCGCCGGGACCCATCTTCTTGATCATCTCCGCCAGGCGCATTGGAAGGATCGGCGCAGCAGCGGAGGCGTAAAGGCGCGGCTAAGAGCTGGCTGGGAGGAGGCTGCGGAGGAGATGCGCGCAAGCTAGACGGGTCGGCTCGACTCTGCCCGTCCGAGGCGCCGCGCCCGCCTTTATAGCGGCCGCAGAGCCGCCGCCCCCTCGGAGGCGGCGCAAAACAGCCAGCGGGGGCCGGCTTGCGCCGCTTGCCTGCCCAGCTCGGAGGGCAGAGCTGGCCGGCCAGACGCTCCTCGTGCGCTCGCCGGCTTTGGGCTCTCCCGGTGCGGGCAGGGGCGCAAGCAGCCGCGGGTGCCGACCCAGCTCGATCCTCTTTGTGGGGAGCTGGGCCGGCTGCAAGCGCCTCAAAAGTTTGCCATTTTTGGGCGACTTGGTTTGCGCGGCGCCCCGGAGCGCGCGATCTTTTGGCCCTGCGGAGGGGCGGCGAAGGGAGCCGAGCGGGCGCTCAATAAGGCAGCCTCCTCTGCCTCGCTCGCCCACCCTCCATGGCCCACAGGCGGCGAACGGGAGTTGTAGTCCCGCTGTTGGGAAGGCGCCAAGTTGGGGAAAAAGCTGCTTGGAGAGAAACGGAGTGAGCCTCCGCGATCTGAATGGAGCGCAGGAGGGGGCTTGGGGAGGGGGGAGGCGAGTGGCTCTCCTCTTCGGAAAAAGCGCCTTTTGGTCTCACTCACTCATCCGAATTCTTGGTCGAGGTGAGAAGGACGCGATCCACCGCGCGCTTTCAAGCCAGGAGAGGCATGGAAACAAGAAGAAAGACCACGGAAGAAATGGGACTACAGGAGGGTCTTCACTCCGAACTGGGTGAGGGGTCTTCCATTTAAAGGGGGGGCAGAATAGAGAAAAGGAGACAGTGAGGCGAGCAAATCTTGTTCTGAAAGTCGGGTGATTTGCAGAAAACCCCTCTAAGGTCACTTTCTCCTGAAGAAATGCTCCAAGATCCAAGCCGTGGTTCCTTGGAGGTGGGAGGACGACTCTCCAGAAGGAAAAAATAGAGGGGGGGGGTCTTATCGGGAGAAACCTCAGTCCCTGCAGGAGAAATGCGGTTTTTTTTCTCTCTGCAGGAGCTGCAACAGATCCAAGGTTTTATTACCAAGGCATGTGGGCTTCCATCTCCGCAGGGTAATAGCTTTGGGGACTCTTGGCATCTAGAAAATTCTATTGGGATTTCTTTCCTGGATTTGGGGGGAGAGGGAGAAGGCTGGTCTTGCCACCCTCAGAAGAAAAGCAAAGCGTCTCCAGGGCACGCCTGGAGTGTATTGCTCCCACTCTCTGAGAGTTTCTGATTTTGAATCCCCAGGAATAGATCTGAGGTGGGTGGACATTTTTAGGGTTCAAATTGCTCCCCCATCTTGGATGATCATGGGCAAACCATTGTCTCAGGGAAAGTAAGTCCCAATCTGTAAAATGGGTACAGAAGATGATCAGTAGACTGTTTATTATCAACTGTCTGCATCATTGCACAGATAAAATGAAAGCCAGTTTGGTTTAGTGGTCAAGCCACAGGCTGGAAACTAGGAGATTGGGCGTTCTAGTTCTGCAATGAATGCCGGCTGGGTGACTTTGGGCCAGTCCCTTTCTCTCAGCCGAACCCACCTCACAGGGATGTTGTGGGGAAAATAGGAAGGGGAAGGAGTATTAGGTTTGTTCACCACTTTGAGCTACTTACAAAAATAATAAATTGTTTTTAAAAAATCTTCTAAAAAAATACGTGATTGAATCCTGGTCTTTCATTTACAGTTAAAGGCACTATTTACAAATGTGTTCACTGAATTCTTAGCAAATCTGTCATGCAAATGTCTTTACTCTTATTCCCTGCCAGCTGTTGCTCAATTATCTCATTTTTGCAAGACAAAGACACCCACATAGTGCTCCCTGCAAAGGCATCAGGTGGTCCATTCATTTCCAAATGCACACACTGACACAACCTTCTGGGGTTCCCTTCCTCGTCTCCCCATTGTTTGCGAGCAAGAAATGGCACCCCAAAACAGCTCAGACTCTCATGTCTTGGCAAGTTCCAGAAAGCCAGGGCCCCTTGGCACAGCCCTCCTCCTTGCCATAGCAAAAACGGAGTTTCTTGCCCCGTTTCTTGCCTTTGCGGAAGGGAAACAGTGAGCCAAGCCTCTGAACTGGCAGCAGTGGAGAATAAAGTTAACTTTTAAGCCGTGGTGGAGAGGATCTCTTCCATGCCGCCCTAGGAAACGGGATTGCATCAGGAGAGAGCTGGCCAGGAGTGAGATACAGAAACTGGGGGTTTCTTTAAAGCAGGAGTGTCCAGCCTTGGTAACTTTCAGCCCCAACCCTAACCTCCAAAGACCCTCCCAACTCGGTTATTCTGTTCTGCTGTATGCTTGTCTGTCTATGTGACTCGAGAGTCAAACCTTAAAAATCATTTTTATACTCATGCGAATGAAAGGCTTGAGAAGCAGTGGTCCGGTATTTGAGGGGCTGCCACAAAGAAGAGAGGGGGGGGGTGTCAACCTATTTTCTGAAGCGTCTGAAGGCAGGACAAGAAGCAACGGATCAAAGAGAGAATTAATCTAGAACTAAGGAGAAATTTCCTGACAGGGGAAACAATTAATCCAGAAGTCGTGGGTGGAGGTCTTCAAGAAGAGGTTGGACGGACATTTTTCCAGAATGGTCTAGGGTCTCCTGCTTAAGTAGGGGGTTGGACTAGAAGACCTCCAAGGTCCCTTCCAACTCTGTTATCCTGTTAAACCAGATGGCATCACGGCAGAGTGACTCCTCCAGCCATTTCCCTCTCCTGCCACTACGGGGCGCCAGAGCGCCCTGCAGGCTTTCTCCAGAAGCTTTGTAAACTTTTTTGCAAGTTTTTGAGAGCAGGGAAGTTTTCTGCAGCCCTTTCAGGACCCTTCCCCAGCGGGAGGTGATTTTACGCATCCCTTGTTGGCCCCAAAGTCTTGTGTTTGCATGCATCTGGGAGAGAAAAAGGACTGAAAACAGCAACACCCTTATCCGGAGAGAAAGAGAGGTATTGACCGGCACCCCGTCCAGCAAATAAGACACACGGCAGTGTGGGAAATAGGCAGCTGTCTTTGGAACAGCAAAGGCCGGAATGGAGGAACACAGCAAGGCACAGAAATAACGGGCCCTTTGACCTCGGGTGAGAATTGATGGAAAATTAATTCTCTCCAGCCAGAATTTTAGACCCAGGAGCTTTGTTTTCTTCAGGCAATTCAAACAGGGAAGGTAGTTTATGAGCTAATTGTAAAAGCCACCCAAAGAATACTCCCCTGCCCAATCCATAAACATCTTGTGGGTAGCAATAGTTAGCAACAACAAGCACAGAGAACTGTTATTCCTTTGGGCACAAATTAAGCCATTGATTACTATCCTATCCTTAAATAACCTGGACTGTTGATATATCACTGTGCTGGTGTGTATATATGTGTTTCCGTGCATTTGTGTGTGTTAAAAATAACCAGCTCCTCTGAGCATAGCTGGCGTCTGGCAAAATTTGTTCTCGTCCATGAGATTGCTCATCAATAGTCAGAGAAGATTGGGGAGGGGGGGCTCTGACAAGCTTTGGGGTGCTGAATAAGCAGAAGGAAAGCAGGAGCCACAGAAGGTTCTGGAAGAAACCAGAACAAGCCTTCAAAGAACCTCATGCCCATAATTATCCATTAAATTCACCCTGGGGACCCTGCAGGGGGTTGTGTTTGGCACACTCAAGGTCAGGGGTCCCCAAGAAAAGAAGCTCAAGCAGTGGAGATGGAGATGGATCAAGTTTCTGTGTCCTCTGCCCTGGACTGATGGGTTAACTTTGCCCCTTGATTCCTTGACATGAATCCCAGACCCTCTGAAGATGCAGTCTCCGATTGACTTTCCATAACTCAAACCAATTGTTTTTCAAAATTTGACTCTCAGGTGGCCAGATGGAGTCTTAGAGAATCATCTATATATATAGGCTTTCTTTAAAAAACTTGGCAGCTGCCACAGGGTCACGTTGTGCTGTCCAGGGTCCTGAAATTCTGGGAGTTGAAGTCCACAGGTCTTAAAGCTTGGACACCTTTGCTCTAGTCTAGAATCTAGATGACCCTGTGAGCTTCTAGAATTCAGTTTCCCAGGCACCCCCTCCCTCCGGAAGGCAGTGTGTTTTCAAATATTGCCTTTTTCTAACTACCTGGGAAAGTCATCTTTTCTTCTCAACAGGAGAGATAGCAATACTTTTCTCATATAGGCCGAAGATTATTACTTCTGAGGACAATTATCACTTTTCTTGGCTTTGGGGGTTTTAGGAGATTATTCTTTATTGGGTCTCTTCCCACCCAGATCCCCCCCGGGGCCCCTTGCCCGACTTTCTTGTTTCTCCACACCTGCCATGGGAGCCTCTGATTCATTCACAATATTTCCATTTCCATTTAGCATGTTCAGAATTATGAGAACCTTAGATTGGCATCGCGAATAAAAAGCCTTTCCAGTCAGCTGAGCCCCGGGGGGTCTGCTTTTGTACAAATCAACAATGTCTCCTATACTATTTTCTGATGCTCCTGGTGGTGCTTTGTCCTTTTGACACCATCAAGGATTTGCCACAACAAGAAAACAAGCATTTTCTGGCAGTTCAGAAGACATCTTTCTCAGAAATTATCTGGCCAGTTTTTCTGTCTAATTAAAAGATGTTTGTCACTTCTTCCTTTTAAGAAGAGCCCAAAGCACAGAAATCCAACAGGTCATGTTTTCTCTGGCAATTTCATTTCCAATCCAGTCTGGAATAAAAAGGTATAAATCGGATATAATCTGGTCCCTTGGCTAAACAAAGAAGAGAGATTCTAAGAACTGCGACTGATAAAACAGGTATTGTTATTTGGTGTGTTTCGTTCGGAAAATGTGCTTCTCAGAAAGTTAAAAAAATAAAATATATATATATTAAAAAAAGAAAAGAAAACATGTTTCTCTGTCTTTTTACAGGTTGTGTTCACGCAACACATTTAACCAGGTTGGTGAAAGACCTAACAGCTAGACTTGCAAAATAAACTAAGGTGGGAAATCACTACTAATCTTGCTTTTGAGTTCTTTTTTTTCTAGCCTAGCATGTTGTGGCAATCCAGCTCACTGGTTAGGCTGTGACTCAGGGCATTGTACA